GGGCTGCCAAAGCAGGGCATGCGAACTTAACCACTACGCCATTAGGCTGGCCCCTGGATTCCTTTTTTTTAAAAAAATCTGTTTTATTCTTATTTTTAAAGTTGCAAAAATATTGAAGAGAAGTCTGCCTCCTATAATTTCTATCTCTGTGCCCTTATTGTGTGTTCTGCACCAGACATACCAAACTCATACTTTTCCACACAACATTCATTCAAATAATTGAATTCCCCCCCTCCTGTTGAATGTATGACAAAATCAGCTGAGTTTCAGACCTAATGGAAAAATTAGCTTGCATGATGATATTACAATATGTGGAAGGTTTAAGGACGTGTACACCATCTCATGGTTTTGAACTGTGTGGTTAAAGACACTGAGAGTTGACAGATTAGTCAAGGATTTGTCGAGTATTAATTACAAACTTTGAAATCTTGGTCAGTGAAAGTTCATCGTAGTGCATCTTGCAAATATGATCAAAGTCTTTTCAGTACTGATTTGATGATGCTTAACCACAGTGTATAAAGAATGAAGTTTTTCATAGAAATTACTGATGTAATAGAGTATATTCTAAAGGAAGAAGTATTGGTGTTAAAATTTATGCTCTTCCCCGACCCTACCCCCACCCCCGTGTGGGGACCCCCTCTCATTGCCTCCAAACACCTGAAATGGCATTTTGGACAGCTACAAAGGAGCTGTGATCTGAACAGCATTAGTGCATGCAGCTTAGGGATGACCGGCACTGTGAGGGCAAAGGTGGGGCTGGTGTAAGTGATGTTTTCAAAACCATGAAAACCTGGGGGCTAACTGTCATTGGGTAAGAAAAAGAAATTTATGGCTGGCTAAAAATTTGAAAAATGGAGGAGTAAAGTGTTTACAGCTGGTTATGGGAAAGGAAAGGAGTCCCTCTGCCCTGTCCTTGTTGACTTCTACAAAAACAATCTATTATTTTTGGTAGCTTTTTTTCTTGGGAATAAAAAAAAAATGCTCTGGCACCTAAACCACAGAAAATAAAATAAAAATACACCCAAATGTAGCTCTTCCAAAATCATTGGCCTGCATCTTCCCCTCCGTTCTGCCGAGATGTCTTATCTGTGCGTTCCAATGGATATCAGAATACACGGAAAGCGTCAGCCGGGTTCCTTGATATTCCAGTGAACTGCAGGTCGATTTCCTGCAGCAGCCAGGTGGAAGGTGTACAAAGTAGCCAGTGCCTGGTCTGGGTGGCCCGTCCCCCTGAGCTGGCGTTTCAGGAACCATAGCCTGCTGCCAGCCAGGGATCAGAAGACGCTAGTCTGGGGAGAACTGGAGCGGTCGCCACTGGTTCACCTGTTCTGACGCTCTTCTGACGTTCAGTTGCCTCTGTGCGCCAGAGGGTGGCACCCCAGGCATTCCAGAGGTGGAGAGAAGGAAAAGGGAGGGACTGGAGGCGAGGCGAGGAGGGGAAGGAGAACGCTGATCAATTCTCAGACCTTGGTCTTAAGCTTCCCACCGAATATGGAGCCCATGCCTACCCCTTTGCGGAATAAGAGGGATTCTGCCAGACTAGCTGTCACCGAGTTAGGAATTTCTAAGCTGAAAACGGCATGCGAGGGTTATTCATGACCAACGGCCTCTACGCTCCTGGGTCCCAGGAAATCCAAAGCGAAGCTAGTCTGCAGCCGCTGGGTGTGCGAGTGCTTGGGGGTGGGCGCAAAGCCACCGGCACCTGATGCTGTGAGTGAGCCAACATCTGACCTGTCCCTTTGTGTCATGTTTTGCAGTTGCTGGATTTGTGCGACTCGGTGAAGGATGATGCCCTGAGGGTGATCTCCGCCTTTAACATTCCACACACCTTCCTCCACGCACCAATTGCCGGAATCACCAACCCGCTGGCCGGCTGGGCCTTCTACCCTGCGCCGCTGCAGCCCCTGGCCCGGGAAGGGGCGCGCTCTCAGCGGCCCAAACTGGAAGCCAAGTTATAGCGGGCGTGGCGGGAAGGGTGGTGGCCCGCCCACAGCTGCCACGACGCTCGCTTTTCTGACGCCTGGAGCTGGGGCCGAGGCCCGGCTGGCACTCGCTGGGCCGCGGCCCTCAGGGATTTTGGTCGCGGAGCCGGGGTCTGGCTGAGGCTGGCGAGGCGCACGATGGGCTGTTGGGAAAGGGAGCCTGGCGGCCGTCCCGGGGTGCCAGGCTTTATCCTCTCCCGCCTGGCCCGGCAGCGACCTCTCTCGGTTTAGGCGCTGGATCGCACTAGACAGAGGGGGCTCCTCTGAGAGCGCGCCCCACAGCCGGCTACCACCGAAGGTCTCCCGCTGTCAGCGGTGACTCAGATTCCCAGTGATTTTGAAAAACTGTGATGCTAGGTGAAAAAAAAAAAAATCAAAGCATAAAAATCAAAACACACCCGGGCAAAGTTTCAGTTCAGCAAAGTGATGTTTTCCCAGTGAATCAGACCCTTTCGGGCTCTGCGAGGAAACGCACGGGCGGGGAAAAGGGAGTGTGAGCCTGGAGTTTTGCTCTCCGCAGAGCACGAACTTGAGCTCGTCCTCCCAGGCAGGCGGCTTCCGGACCGCAAGCCAAAGCACAGAAAACAACTTTACCATATGAAATTGTAATCTGATCTTTAGAAGAGCTTAGATACATAAGTTTAATAAAGAAATTAAGCAATGGGAAGGCGCCCCTGCTGCTTGCAGAGGACGGGGAGGCGGGCCAGGGCAGTACACTGCAATAAATTGGTTTCGGAACTTGGAGAGACCACACTGGCGACGCCTGTGGTCCCGATGAGGGCTGTAGAGTTCCCATTTCTCAGGTCCCGGTTGCCCGACTTCATTCTTGCTCCTTTCTCTCAGTCCGAACCACTCTCCTTCTTCCCTCTCCACATCTCGTGGCAGAGGCAGGAGTGGGCACCGCTCTGCTCGTGTCCGAAAGGGCGACCTTCAGGACCGCAGCGAAGATCTAATACCTACCTGCCCTTCCCACTCTGCCCCTCCACCGGACTCGGGCCCAGGTTCAGGAGGACCTCTGCCCTGCAGCAGAGGCCGGGAAGGGCTCGCGGTCCCCCGACTCGGGGCGCTCGGCCGAAGCTCACCAGCACAGCCTGGGGTGCAGGAACAGCCGCCTCCGAGCCGACCTCCTCGTTGTGCTCCAAATAAGAGCGCTTAAGCGGTTGCTTTCCCCGACGCCTTTGTTTTTTAAAGTGTTCACAGGGTCGCTAGAGCGGACGACGCGGGGGCGGCAGAGCTGCACAGACGCAGACTACAACTACCAGGGCTTTGTTCTGCGCGGTTCTTTTCCGGTCCCTGTCTGCATCGTCCAACCCCACGGAGAGCGCGGAGCAATCGGGAGCGCGGCTGCAGTTCCCAGCCGGCGCAGCAGGTTCCGTTGCTTCCCCGAGAGTGCCACGCCGGGCGGCGAAGGCGCAGAGTTTGCCTGCGGCCGCCACCTACGGTCGCGGGCGGGAGCTCCAAGCGGAACCGAAGTCAGGGTAGACCTCCGGCCTCGGTGTCCACTTCGCCGCGTCCACGCCCAAGTCCTTTCCCTTCTGCAGCGAAATCCCCAGGCGGAGCCCGGAGCGCGTCCTCGAGCCCCTCCAGGAACCCCTGATCTCCTTCACTTCGCTCAGGACCTCCCGGAGGATACACTGAGAAGACTTTAACCTGGGGCTTTGCTGTCACGCTGACGTTCTATTTCTGTTTACGCAACACAAAAAGTGACCAAGGTGGCCAGACGGCGGGACAGTGCCTCGCTGACTTGCTCCTCTGCACCGAGGACCCTTCCTTCTCCCTTCCAAGGTGCCGGTTAGAGTGGCCCTTAAAATGAGTTTCTTTAATTCGTCTAGCCTGGTCTCCCCCGCGGCCGAGTGTTCCATCTCCCGACCGACCTTGCCCCCACTCACCCGCCGCGGCTGTCTCAAAGCCCGACGAGCGCGGGGAGGAGTAGGGGTGCGGATGCCGACACGCAATGGGAGGGCAGATGGGGGAGCGCACGGAGTTTGGTCCCGCAGGGAAGGAATGGGAGTGGGCCGCGGACTCCAAGGAGGAGGATGATGGGGCGCGCAGGGAGGAGGAGTGGGGGGTATTGCGCTCCCCATAGCGCACTCCACGCGCGGTCCGAAACCTCCTGCGCCGCCTTCACCGGCCTCAGCACGCCGAGGCGACGGTTCCCGGGCGGGTCTCCGAGAGCTCAACAAATCTCGAGGACCCCAACCGACCGGGAGGCACCACTCTCTCCCACTTGGAAGCCGCGACTCTTCTTGGTCCTTTTTTTTTTTTTTCGTAAAGGGATTTTTTTCTAATTCATTTTCCATTTCCCTATTTTACCTGCTCCGCGCGCACTCGCTTCCCGCCTCGCACTTGGGCTAGGACTCCGTTGATCGCTCCTTGCCTTTTTCTCGACTCTCCTCACTAAGGCCTCTGCCTCTTACGGCGCGAGAGAAAAGCTAGGTGCCACTGCGGGGTGGCATAAGTTCTAAGAGTACTGCGTGAGGCGAGGGCGAGAAACATGAGCAAAATGCAGATCTGGGGTGCCGCCGGGAGCCCCGGACTCTGGGAGGGAGGAGGGCTCAGAACCCCCTGCTCAACCTTGGATCCGCGCGTTCTCAAGGACCAGCCCAGTTCCCGTGCCTGCCCCAGAGTGGCTGAGAGAGAAACTCCCGCAACCGATCAAGGACTCAGGGGCGCCTCCCGAGCCTTTCCGCGGGCGACAGAGGCCGGGCCCGGCTCAGAGTATGCTAGGAGCGCCCCCTCGTTCCACGCGCACGCCGCGGCCGCCGCTGGATGGGGAGAGGCAAGGGTACACTCTGGGGTGGGGGATGGGTGCGCACAAGCCGCCAGCAGCCCAAGTCGCTCCAGTAAACACGCCCAGCTGGGGCAGGGCTGGCGGCGCGCGCAGAGGGGAACCCGGCGGGGCCACCCCCGCCTTTACCTGCCGGAGCCTGCACGCGCCGGCTGCCGCGGCGCCGCGGGGGCGGAACTTGCCTGCCCGCGCGCTGGGGCGGGACTTAGCGGGGGCGGGGCCCGCGGTGATTGGGCGCGGGCGCGGGGCCGCGAGCCTGAGCTGGGCTGCCCGGGCGCGCAGGTTTCACTTCGCTCCGCGCAGCCTCCAAGTCTGGATCTTGTAGGAGCTCTCCGGCCGGCGTCGCCGCCACCGCCGCCACTGGATTTTCGCAACTGCCCCGCGCGCCCTGCCCCACTGCGGTCGGCATCGTCTCGGGCTGCTCGGTTGGCCCCGCTCCCGCCGCCACCGCCTCGGCGCTCTTCCCCTGGCCCTCGTCCCCCCAATGTCTGACTCTGACTCCCGGACTGAGAAACGCAAGGTAAATACCTCCGAATCCCGGAGAGCGGGCCGGGTACGGATGGCACACCAGGCGCCGGAGCCAGCACGACTCCACCTCCTGCCCGTTTCCCGCGCACGTGCAGGCGGAGACGCACGTACCCGTCCCGCGTGTCCCCGGCGGGAAGCGGCGATCCGTGCATGTCGGGTGTCCCTCCCTGGGCAGGTCCACTTTGGGAAGGGGTCTTCCGCGCAGAGGCTGCGGGCTCTTGGCCGAAGCGCGGCTCGGGCCGGAGTTCCGCGCGCGGCAGTGGTGACGCGTCTCGGGGCCGGCTGGGAGAGGCAGCGCGTGCTCTCCGCGCTGGCCCGGGAGCTGGGGTTCCGCTTCACCGTAACGGGCTGCGCGCCTGGCCGGGAAGTCTCGCCACCCGGCGGCCCCCGAGTAGTGGCCGCGCGGTGCGAGCGGGTCTCGCGTCTTGGCTTTTCTCGGGCGCGCGGGCCTGTTGCGGAGGATTTGCGGAACTGCGGTGGTGATTTAACTGACGAGATTCGGCTTTTCCCTTTACTTATTCAGGCCGAGGTTTCGGGGCAGCTGCTGCGTTGGCCCCGCTCCCGCCGCCACCGCCACATGCCCTCACGGACATGTCTGGGGGCCCTGCGCGGTCTGCGGGCGCCCTGCGGACGATGCCAGCCGCACGATCTATAGACGCGAGAGACGGAGGGCCTCCTCCTACCGCCGGGCCCCGCGGTAGACGAGCCGCCGGCAGCAGAACCTGCTCTGTGCTTGGGCCCGGGCTATCTTAGCAACTCGGTCGTGCCCAAGCGCACCCCGACCCACTCGCAGTGGTAGCTGGCGGTGCCGTGTCCTCGGGGGCCTGTTACTCGGGGTTGGCCCTGGTAATGGAAGGCCCCCTGGACGCGGGGGATGGCGGTGTCGATGTGTTCGTTGTCTGTCGTGGTCACGGGCGCGCGCAGATACGCACGCCCGTGGCCAGTGGTGGCTGCCCAGATTTGGTGCGTGTCCGCGGCGCACCGGGAGAAAGAGGAGAGGTTGGAGGAGGATGGGCGCTGCAGCTGGGGAGGGGGCGGCCTTTGGGGTCCTCACCCCAGCGGGCCTGGGCAAGGGTCTGTGGCCAGGACTGAGGTCTGAGGACGGCCCTGCGGGTGCGGGGAGAGCGCGGCTCCTGCTTTGTCTCCAGGTGACCCGCTGCTTGGGGCGGCGGGGGCTGCTGAGGCGCGCGCGGCGGCCCGTCGGGCACAGGGGCGGGGCGGGGTAGCCTGGGCAGCCCCGGTCCCCGAGGCCTGCGAAGTCTTCGCCGAGGCTGCCGCCGCCGGGGCCGGAGCCGCGTTCGGAGGCGAGTTTGTCAACAATCGCCTCGCCTTTGGCGGCCTGACCCGTAGGCGCCGCCCCCGCCGCCGCCGGCG